AAATATCGTGATAATATAATTCCAAATTTCTTATTTAAACAAACACCAAAGGCTATTAGAACTGGAAGGAGCGCAGGCATGTTGAATTGTTCTATACTCTACTTTTTACCTACTTTATGGTATAAAATAATTAAAAAGGAATTTTATATTTTCTTCCCTGTTGGTACTGAAAAAAACATTGAATCATATATATTTTATATTTCTTTGCTATTATAATTTAACACATTTAGAGTAAGAAAATTAAAATATGGTTTATAAAATACGCAATATTGGTAAACAATAACTACTGTTTATTTATTTATTAAATGTTAAATTTCTATTGCAACTGTAACGCTAGATAGGCTTCTAATAATTGTTAAGAACATAATCAATATAATAATTGAACAATAATTAATCTATATAAGCTAATTATAATTAATAGATACAATTTCTGTTATTATTTGGTTGTCATTACAACTGTAATAGTCCGAAAGGTTTGGTTGGAAAAAAATAACTGTGAATAAAAATGTTGTATATAGCAGTAAAACATATATACATGTTAACTTTTCGTATTAATTTACCATTCTCGTCATACGTGGGCTCGTAAATTATCGAATATCCATTAATTGATTTTTTATATTTTGTTATATTTCCAAAACGAACAATCCTAGACTCATTGAATATTTATATTAGCATTTTCCATACATGGTAAAATTTTCAAACTATTTTGACTTTTTTAGAGATATTTTTTTTTTTCAAATGTTGTAAAATATTTTTCAGTTCGAGATTCATAAAAGTTTTTTTTTCATAGCTTACTTAAGAAATATTAATAGAATGTTCCCAACACTTTTTTTTTACCTCTATAAAAAAGAAAAAGTTCACCGGAAAGTTAGGCTCTTTATATCCATGAGGCATATTACAGTTTTATTTATTTTTTTTTTAACTATTTAATTAGATATATTTGTAATTATATAATAGTTAATCTGTGTTCAGTCAAAAAATTACCCCTAAATATTGAAAAGTCCAAATGAATATCATTTTCTAGGTCTCGGATCCCACTTCTCCATTCATACCATATATAAGTAAGTATTCATTAACGCGAGTTCATGATATGAATGACTTAGGTGTAATATTTGATTCAACCCATTCTTTCAATAAACACTTATTACATACAACAAGCAAATAGTTAATGATATTAGTCTTTATTACAAGGAACTTTAAAGATTTGCTGATCCCGTTGTTTTAAATACTTCATTTACTTCTTTAGTCCGAGCTAAATTAGAGTATAATTCTGTGGTTTGGTCCCCTCACATAAAATATCAAATTCACAATTTAGATAATATTATACAAAACCTTTTTTTTTTTAGCCTTCAAATGTCATATTACTCGTGAGCCACATTCTCCTTGCCAGCCGTTACCAAATTTGTTTCATATTGAGAGTTTACAAGAAATTAAAAAAAAAAATTCAATTTTTTATTTAAACTTATAAATGTTAATATTGATTGTCCAGACAATTGAGTTTTCCCAATTTAAATGTCTAGTAGAACTAGGTCTACTACTATTTTTTTTAAGTATTTTCACAAAAAAAACAATTATGATTTAGCCCCTCTTATTAACAGAATGATGTTATTAGAGAACTCAACAAAAATTGATTTATTTAACTTTATTACCTTGAAATCTTTTAGTAATTATGTGAATATAATTTTTTGTATTTAATGTATGTTATACTATTATAATTATTATTATTATTATTAGTTTAATTACTTTATATTTGTACTGTTATAATATATTCTATTCTATTTGGATCATATGATCCATTAAAATTTAATATATAAAAAAAATAGAATATTTATACAAGTATAATGGTAGGCTGACAAAATCATTTTTGTATTCAATTATTCATCCTTGAATTCAAATATAACACATCCATTACAACGATATGCTTGACAACTGTAGAGCAGAGGAGTATACTAACTGGCGACACATTTAGTTCAACATTTGTTTGATTTATTTCAAAATAATTAAAACAATCTCACTACTTATATTATCATAGTTTATGTGCCTTAATATAAATATTTTACCTATTTATTTTTATTATTATAATAGTATTGAATAAATACATAGGTACCTAGTAATATTATAATAAATATAGGCAAAGTTTAAAATTAAAAATTATATACTTTTATGTGTACAACACTTATTTTTCTTATTACTATTCTAAACAATCAACAGTTTTCTATCGTTGAATGAATTTATCTAAATGTATTATTTTGTTCGTACTGTTCAAATTTAAATAATATTTTAAAACTTATGAACGGGTAATGTTAAGACATTTTTAGCTTAGAAATAAATATTATGTAATGTAATATAATATAATATTCCTATACTTAAATAAAAACACAGGATTACTAATGGCAACGATAAATAATATGAAATGTGGGGCGTTCCAATATACATTCTACATACACTGAAGACATATTATATCTATAGTCTATACGCATTCCTTATAATATACACTCGCTACACATGCAACACAAAAAATATAAAATTTAACACCTATCGGATCAGATGTTCAGTAAAAATAACACAACAAATTAAACACAGAGGCAGCTTTGTCACATCGCACAAAATAAAATCATAAACACATCAATACTTTAACGTTACGTGCAATCACACCGACAACGAAGGGATTACACAAAAATCGTTTTATATAAGGATGTGACAAAATCGACACAGCTTGCCAGTCCACCAACATATGCCAGTTTCTTAAAAAAAGCCTCTACACACATCGTTCACGCCAGTATGCACTTCGATAACATTTTTTCCATTTAAAGCGAATGTGTATGTATGTGTATTGAGTTATTTCAACATTCGGTATGACTAGGTATCTAATTAGTTATCTCGTATTATCGAAGAAAGTCACCTTGTTAATTATTCATTCACCTGTCTATTGAATGTTTTATAATATAAAGTTCTTTGACTATCATCCTATAATAGTATAGTTATTGTATAAATGCTGATCAACTTAAGTTACATTCGGTTAGCCATCGACTATTTACGAATGCTACGAATGTAGGAATCTTTAAGAACTTATGATAATATAGTCACGTCCCAAATCATATAGATAACAAATTCATATAATTTTGGTGTTTGAAGTTTGAACCACATCAATATCATACATAGAACTCAGGAGAAAAATATTTCTTAATAAACTAAGTGTTAAATATACAAATTAAAACAGGTAATATATACATATACACTCCGAAGTGATTTCGAGCATCAAACTCAAGTACTCAAAACTGTATCCACGAATATAACTACATACGGTAAATTAATTATAATACTTCATAATATATTTATTTTATATATTTTATACATTGTTATAAGATACGAAATATAATAAAGTAGTAGAATAATTACAAATACCTTTAGAATAATGAAATAAAATCACTAATCAACGTTAAATAAAACCAGAATGAGTATACCCATAATATGTACATCCTTTAAATATATTTATACCATTTTTACAATTTATTCTTACCTTAAATTTTCCCCTTCATTTTTTCTTATTTTTATTCTACTGCAAACTAGCTACGGCTTTGACTAATATGTGAAGTTTACCTCCAAACATGGTGAAT